GCCTCCTGAATGTACTCGTCCTCATGGTCTTTTTATCCATGGTAGAAGTGACTTTTGCTGATGATCCCCAAGTTTTCATTAGTCCATGACTGCATGGTTTAACTCTGGTTCATTGCCATAGTCAGGTTCTCTGTAGCTCGCTAAGCAAAGATGTATTTGGATACGAGTGCAAGCACTTTTTTGACAGAAATCCAAAGCAGCAGACATAATCAGTTCAAACACACAGGCTAACAGGGCAATGCAGGGATAAGTAGGAACAGTGTCAAAACTAGAGAATCAGTGTAGATAATAACACTCATAAATGCATAATGTAATGGTGGGAAAAACCTTGCAATAAATATGGAATGGCATAGTGCTTAACTGGTGTTCAATGAATAAAAATGAGGAACAGCTGTAGTGAATCAGTTTGATGGTGACTGAGACAGAGGTAAAGTTCGGGCTGGAGTATGTTCTGGAGCAGTCGTGGCTTCCAGAGTAGTAGTGGATCCTAGTCTTATAGATGGAATAAACATTTTAAAATATTAAGACTGAAGAAGTTTTAATGTTTAAAGAAGTTTAAATGTTAAAATGTTACCGTTGTGTAGTTGCTCCTATATTTCTGTAGCTGATTGTCCTCATTCCCTGACATTGTGGTAGTTGGGTTATCAGTTTACATGCCAACTAATTAACTTATGAATTAGTGACTGTGTAAGCTTCAAGCGCTGTTTGTAAATTCTCGGCCAGCTGGCGTTATGCCTGAATGGAATTCAGACAGAAATCATGCATATTTATGATGAGAGCGCTGGAGATTTCAGTGGGAACCAAAGACACTGTGAGTCAAGGATCAGAAAGCAGTGCAGCTGTTTCTCTGGCCCTCACAGTGACCAACTAAAGACAATTAATGACAGCGGCACCTGTGCATATCAAATGATGGCACCTGTATGAGGGCACTGTGGAGTAAGAGACTGAATGTTTAATCATTGATTAAATGCAGAGTATTTAACATTATAGTGGGTTTCTAGTTGCAACAATGTGATGTCGTAAGGTAAATAAGGAAAACGACCCATTCTAAATTAACACATATCTAAATAATATAATATATTAACTATTATATATGACCTGGAATCTACCACTATATTTTACTGAGCACCCCAATGCATAATATGACAATGTAAATTCTCTAGTTCTTTCAGAAAGCAGTTAATTCTCTGGCAAGCGAGATGTGAATTACTGTCAGCAAGTGCATGTACATTCTTTATATGCAGCCGCGGGATGAGAAATTAAGGGCAAAAATGTGTTTTGACTGCCTCATCGAAAACACCCACTCATGTCTTCGAGCACATCTCTATCTTTTTCTCATCCTTCTCTCTCTCTCTCTCTCTCTTGTCATCGAGCGATTACACAGAGAGTCTCTCTCCAGCAAGTGCATGTCTCTGCCTTCAAAACGCAAACAGACTCTTTACACTTATGATACGCCCACATATTCCAAGGCCACTGTTCAGATAGTTTTATGACACTTCTGAGTTGCTTACAGAATGTAAAGAAAATACATGGGTTGTTCTGATTTTCCACCACGTCCTTTAAGAACAATTTCATCTCGACCACTGCTTACTTGCCTTGTCCTCCACCTCTGACAACTGTGAATACATTTTAAACACAAATGAAAAATTCCTTTTGAGAACACTTCCTGGGGCAAAAAAAGGTTGGCTATGTGTTAGCTATAGCAACAAGGATCAGTTAGTCTGATATTGGTGTGAAGGATGTCACTGGAGTTGATTAAATGTTCCTTCCTAATGTGTCCCTGCATTTGCTATGATTCCATATAACGATGAATCACCCGTGGCTGCCTGTGAGAACAATAGAGATGTGTGTGCTGTGCTGAAGCAGCACTGGCAGCTCTATTACATGAGTACATTTATAATCAGTGCTGTTGGCTGCCCAATTCTGCCATGGTAAAGCAAGCCTTTGGATTAGTGTGAGCTCAAACCAGACTGCTTTCTATTTACTGCAATTGAAATTGCTTTGCATCACATGCTTGAGCTGTGATCTTTCTGGAGGATACTGAAATCTTCATAGGTGTTTTCTGTGTATGTATGATTACAGTAGATAATGAAATTCAACCAGTCAATCATCAGGTCATCTAAAGAGCAAATTTATTTACATGACTGCATGGTGGGCAAATTCTGTAGTGAATTACATCTGACATAACATCTTATGAAAATACTGTTTTATGGATGTCAGGTGAATCCACAGTTTACAGTTTCAGTTCAAAATGCTAATTCGTTTCATTTGATACAGAAAATCTTTTTTCCCCTGAATGCAGGTGTGACCAATATGGTGTTGTCAGCATTGCGAACACTGAAGTATTCCTGTGATGATATTTAGGAACAATTTAGCTTTTATTCAAGTGCCATCATTGTCATGACAGTGATCGAGCGGTGACTTGGTACACATATCTTTTTGCGAGACATATTGCAGGCCTGGTACAAATGTTCCATGGGTCAGGCCATGTAGTCAGGCCACTGAGCCAATGAGCACTAGTGAAGTTCTTTTTGTTATGAGAAAAAAAAAAACACTTCTCAGCAGCTAGATGTGACTTTCTTTGTCCTCTGTGACAACATATGGTATGTTCTGGTCAATACTTAGAAACACAATTGACCTAAGCCATCTCCTTTTATTTTATTGATAAAATTTTACAGGTTATTTTAGAAGAACCATCTTTATCCAACAGTGCCTTGAATAAGTATTCACCCCCTTAATTTTTTTTTTGTAATGATACAACCTGGAATTGAAATGGACTTAACTGTGATTTTTACCATTTGATTTACACAATGTCTAATATTTAAAGGTGTAAATTTTTTTTTTTTTTTTGGTGACAGAATGGTTAATTAAACAAAAAAAGCAGACATTTGTTGCTTGCATAAGGATTCACCCTCCTGGATCAATACTTGGTAGAACCACCTTTGGCTGCAATTACAGCTGCAAGGCTTCTGGGATGTATCTCTATCAGTTTTGACCATCATAATCCTGATCTATTTTTCCAATTCCTCAGGCTCTGTCAGATTGGATGGAAACTATTAGTGAACAGCAATTTTCAAGTCTTGTCACAGATTCTCAATCAGATTGAGATCTGGGCTTCCCCACATCATGATGCTACCACCATTGTACTTCACTTTGAGGATGGTTTTCAGAGTGATGAGCAGTGTTGTCCTATGTGCCAAGGGCAATTTGTGGCAAGGCCAATTTTAGTCTAATCAGATAAGACAACCTTTTTCCACAATTGTTGCACCACCAATATGACTTTAAGCAAAATAATATGGCTTTTTTCCTCTTCTTCCCACTCAGCCAAGCTTTATGGAATGATATGGTTGCCCTGTATACAGCATCCTTCAACTGAGCTGTGGCTCTCTCCAGCTCCTTCAAAGTTACCATTGATTGCTTCTCTGAATAATGCTCTCATTACCTCCTCAGTGCCAAGGGCAGCCTCCTTTAGGCAGAGTCACCGTTGTGCCATATTCTTTCCATTTTTTTAATAATGGAGTTAATGTTGCTCCATGGGATGTTCAGTATTTGTTTTTTTAATAACCAAACCAAACTGAATTGCACACTGGTTATGTGACTTATCTTATGTGATTCAGATGGCGCCTGACTGCACCAGAAATATTTATAATTATATCAATATATATATATATATATATATATATATATATATATATATATATATATATATATATATATATATATATATATATATATATATATATATATATATTCTTATTTTTTACAATTATAAATTATATTTTAATAAATTATTTTTATGTAAAAATGTAATTATAATTTTGCAATCTATATTGATTAGCCCCTCCTCCCCATCCAAGCCCCATGCTTTATTTCACTATGCTTCTCCCAAGTAAAAATGACCTGAATGTATATTAATATGATTTTAAAAAATATTATCTGTCCATCTGTGCAAATTAATCTACCATGGACTGACACTTCATTAAAATTCACATGAAGTTTTAAAGTGACCAAAGGTCAAAGTTAGTTGCAGGATTGTCTTTGTATCTTTTGTTATGACTTCTTTTGTATAAAATCTAAATCAAAATTAAATCATTAAATTAATTAATTAATTAATTAATTAATTAATTGATTGATTGATTAATGGATCGTTTTAACTTGAGTGTTTAGTGTTAAGTGTTTCGCTGCCTCCCTTTTATAATTTTCCTTTTCGCATCTAGGCAGGCTACTTAGCTCAGAGAAAATTAATCTTGCCATATGGCCAAGGGCTTGTTTGTGTAATTTTATTAGCCGCAGACCCAGTTCAGAGGTTATGGCTTGATAGATGCGCATGCTAAACGCAGTTACCATTCTTTTTTTTTATTAAACATTTGTTTAGGAAGAAGGCAGAATGTGGCACTGTAGAATGTCAAAAATGATGTAATGACTTAAGGCAGCAGGGAAATGCTAATGCTACAGTGCCCATCACAATGGGTCTTATTTTTATATTGTAGAAATTTAAGACTTTGAATTGGAATCCAATAAATAGAGCTTATTTAGCAGAGCTTTTAAAAGACCTGGAATACCTGTGTATCACAGGCTATTATTATTACATACTAGCATTTATCCACTATTATTCATCTACTTGTGGCTACAATACTATTTTGCTATTTTTGAATACCTTGTGTGTGTGTATGTGCTGTTTGTTTGACTGAGATAGCAACTGGAAGCCAAATTCCTTGTGTTAAGGCATACTTGGCAAATAAAACTGATTCTGATTCTAACTGAAGTTTATCTGTTTCTAAAGGCGGTTAGGAGTTTCCTAGAATTCAGGGTGCACAGTGCTCCTCTTGAACCCAATAACAGCATTTTTTTTTTCTTCAGCTGCTCCCATTAGGGGTCGCCATGGTGGATCATTGTTCCGCATATTTGATTTGGCAACCCTCCCCATTTTTTTTTTAATCCGGGCTTGGGACCGGCTCTGGGAGTGCACTGACTTGTGCAACCCCAGTGGCTGTGGTTGGTTCCCTGGCCAGGAATCAAACCTAGGCCACAGTGCTGATTGCGCCAAGGCCTAACCACTAGTCCTCCAAGGTCCCAACAGCATTATCTTCCTCATATCCATATGGCCAATAATGAGGTGCACTTCAACGTCAAAATTTACACTCAGACATGTCAGCGAAAAAAGCCTAAGTGTGTGAGTGCGTGTGTGTGTGTATTTATTCTTTTATTTGTAGCAAATATCCCCATAAATTTTTAAGGACACTTGGCTTGTGCCCATAATAAAGTTTTTAAAGCTAGATATAAAGCTTCTGTATTTAAGATTAAATTTTGCCGTCTTTGCTAGAAAATGCTAATACAAATTTTTCACAGAGGGGAATTTCCTAAAGTGGGTTGTGCTTTGCCCTTCTCCTGTGAGTGGCAAATCTTCTTCTTTCCTAGCTTTTTTCCCACGAAGGTGCAGGGTCTGCTGTCTTGCATGCCTTCCTCCACTTTGTTTGAGCCACATTGCCATTTCCAAGCATTTTCCAGATTTTAGCTGGGGCATCATCCAGGCCAGTCATTTTCCCATTCTTTATCTTTCTGATAGCCCCTTTGACCTCTTTGGTGGTAATTGGCAGGGTAGGTCCAGGAATGGGTGGCGGTTTTGGTATTGGGTAATGTGGGAATGTGAGTGGCAAGTAATACACATAAATGTAGGATTGCATTCCACACTGCAGTCTTCACAATAAATAGGATGCCACTGGTGTATGACATACTGTTTGGTATGGTAGTATGCAGTTTGAGACACTGAGGATATAATTAGCTGCAGCCATTGTTGTTGTGATCTCAGTGTTACAGAAGCATGAGAATAACTTTATTGTGCACATTAGTGTGACTGTCAGTTACTGAGTGCTTTGCTACCACTGGTTGGTTGTGCTTTATTTTGATGCCGCAGAATTCTGTGTTTGTACAGTAAATCGCCGACCTGATTGCCAGTATCTTGAGTGAACTGAACACAGCACAAACCTGAGATAGCAGTTAGTCTGCTAATACTAGTTAGATAGCTAAAATAGTCCAGGCCTTGTTGAAAGGAAAGGCATCTCTATAGGCCAGTAGAGTGAGTTTACATTCTCTCTGTGGGCCTCTGTGTGTCTCTCCATGTGGCCAATGGTAGTGAGCTACAAGGTTTACAAGAGCTGGCTCAAAGGAATACACTTATTACAGGCTTTGTTTGATAGCTAGCTATTGTTAGAAGCCTATCTGCATCTAACAGTCCTGGAAATTACCAAATCCTGCAGCCCATGATCCAGTGCTTACAGTGCACCAATTTCCTTTCAAACAGAACTTATATTTTAGCTGGCTAGCCAACATTAGGTGACTAATTTATTCTGCAGGATACTTGTTCATATTCACCAGACTTCTAATCCCACACACACACAGTACCTGATATACAAGCACCCATCATATGCTCTGGACTGTTTAGTTACTCTTTGTTACTCTAAGTTTCACACCAGCTTTATTGCCTGTGATGTCATTAAGCCACGTATTATTGTGTTTGCTTCTCTGGCTCTGACTTTTGCCGAATTTACAAGTCTTGTAACTTTTTTTTTAGTTCATATCAGTTTGGAAATCATTTGTCCCTTTGCCTGTTTTCTGATTTTTGATTGCTTTGACAGTCCTTCAGTTTTGTATGGATGCAGCAAGCTATAGTGAGTTTCCACTCAAGCAGTCTCCCATCAGGGGCAGGTTGTAGCTTGCCGACATCCACAACACTTTAGCCGAATTATTTAATCAATTGCTGCTGCTAGGTCCACCTCCAGCAACTTTGCCTACATCAATTATCCAAAAGCCATCCTGTCATCGCTCAGCCTGATAAGTATGAATGAGCCCCAGCCAAGTGCCAAGTTTTTCTATTGCAATGCAATGCGACATTGGACAATACCTTGCCTAGTTGATTTCACTGCTCACAGGGAAGGCTTTAGCCTGAACTGCTGCCATATGGTCTTATGGGGTTGAGGTCATACAGTCTTATGACTGTTTCTTAATGCTTTTCCGCAATGTGTTCAATCACCCTTCTAAGGACAAAGAAACCGATAAGTGCCTACTCAAAAAGGGCAAAAGATTGTATGCCATAGAGTTCAGAATGTTGGTGGGAGTGAATGGGGCAAACCAGCCCTCACTGCCACTTTTTGTTAGGGACATTGAAAAGATGTCCTCACAAAGCTGAGGGACAGCCATTCCTCATTGCATTACCTCTATTGGAGAGCCGACAACCTGCTCTCACTCAGTTCACTTCAAGTAAGGAGGATAGTCAAGCCTATGATTGGGCACAATTTGGACAGACTAATCCTGTAATAATGGCAAAAACACTGGGAGAGGGGGCTATGCTTTTACACTGATCAGTGTCCCAGTGTTATACCACTAATGTGTTGAATATGCTACAGTCTTTTCCTACTAAACCATTTTTATTACCAATAATCTTGCATCGTTCAGACACCAAGTCCACTGTTGCAGTGCTCATCGATACTAGAGCTGTAAGAAACTTTAAACTATGATCTGGTCCTGCACTTTCAGATTAAAACTCAACCACTGGTATCAGCCATGCATGTTCAAGCCACTGAAGACAGAAACATAAGAGATGAAAAACTCACCCATGGCACTCTGCATTTCTGCCTTGATATAAGCATGTTCCACAGTTCAGACCATCACTCTGTCACCCAGTTACTCCATAGTCCCTGGACTTACCTGGCTTCAGATGCACTAATTCCCAAATCTGACCAAGACATCCTGATATAGTTCTCCCTCACCCTGACATCATCATAGAATCCACTGCCATTTAAAGTCCTAAGGTGAAACATTTACCAGAAATGTTATTCAGATTATCATGAAAATTTTAGTAAAGTCAAAACATGTGTTCTTCCCCCTCATTAACACTACAAATGCGTGTTCGACACAAGTTTATCTCTTATCACCTGCAGAAAACAAGACCATGGAAGAATACATGTCTTATTAACAAGCCATTAAAGGCTATATAAGACCCTCCACGACACCCACATTCACTGGTTTCTTAACTGTTCAAAAGAAAGGGTGTGGATTTTCATTGCACATTCACTATAGCTGGCTGAACCAAATTATAGTTAAATATTAATATTTGCCATTGCTCTTGTCAGATCTAGGACAATTGAAATCAGCTCACATATTTACTAAAGTCGACCTCAGAAGTGCCTATATTCTAATTCAAATTAGAGAATGTAATGAAGACTTTAATATAATTTTTTGGACATTATAAATTGTAGGTCATGCTGTATTTGATCAATGCCCTCTCCATGTTCCAAGCATTTATTAATGATATTTTCAGGGATATGGTTGTAAAATTTGTTATAGGTTTTATTGATGATATTTGGATGTACGCCTTGGCTCTAAAAGTGGGGTCTGGGGAGTCCCAGGGCCCCTGAAGCACAGCCAGGGGGTCTGTGATTTTTTTTTTTTTTAAGTTTAGTTATAGTAGTGGAAAACACAAACCACCTTTATCCAAAGTTACATTTATTATTGCTTTTATTGAGTCATTAGCTTATTTGACCTCAATAACTCAGTAACTGCCAGGCCCATTAATAATATCAACTTGAACCTAATGACAAGTTAACATTATTTAATAAAATGTAATAAAAACAAAGTTTAATAAAAACAAAATTGAATAAAAATGTTTTACGTCAGAGGAAAGGAAGAAAAAGCTCTATGGCTCGAATAAATAGCCAAAATATTATTGTACACATTTAAACGATGTGCTTAATATTTGAAATGTTGGATTGTGTTTGTAAAATAGATCTGTCCTGAGGGGTCCACGGATTTTATTTTATGGCTGCAAAAAGATTGAGAACCTCTGCTTTAGAGGAATTATTGGGGTGGAACTAAACTCCTTGGAAAAGGTGTCTGAAAGAGGGATGCTCCACAAACTACTGGACATCATGAACAATGACTCTCGCCTATTACACCGGACATTAGAACAGTACAGAAGCACCTTCAGTGGGAGGCTGAGACCACCAATTTGCTCCACAGAACACCACAGGAAGCCATTCCTCAAAGTTGCTATTCAACTCTACAACATCTCTCATTTCTGTCAGAGTGAGCTGGAGTACTGAGTCTGGGTATGGGTGTTTTTGGCTGCAACAGGCATACTGTAACTTGGAGGTTCACTTGTCACTTTTACTTCACTTGTCACTTTTGGACTCAGATACATAACTTTATAACTTAGGAAATAGGATAATAACACTTTTTATTGTATTGTGTTTTATTCTTTTTTCATTTTAATTTTTCTTATATTTATTTACTTTATTATTGACATTTTTATACTTTCATAGTGTAATAAAGTACTGTATATATCCTGCATAGAATTTATGAATTATACACATGCTGCTGTTTGTAGTTTTTTTTTTTTTTTCTGTTTCTTCTGTTTCTGAAAAAAAGCACCATTCTAAAGCATCCTGACCCCTCACTCCGCTAGGTAGTACAAATAGATGCATCAGAGCCAGGCGTGGGAGTTGTGCTTTCCAAACATCTGGGAAGTCCATCTTTATTTTATTCCATAGTCTCTTTTTCACTCTCATCCATTGAAAGAATCAACAACACGGGCAACAGTGAGTTATTAGAACCTGCATACTTATTGACTGTGTCTTATATTCACCTAGTTCACATGTGTTTGCACATTGCTTGACCCTTTGCCCATATTCTCATTTTAATGATTGCCTAGTCTTTCAGTTTTGTTTGGCTGTGTATCACTCTATAAACCTGATTTTGCATCCTAACCTGAAGATGTCATGACAATAGCCTAGGACGTATGGTATTCTTGGTTTGGCAGCTTGGCCATTATAGAGACAACCACAAATGACAAAATCAAGTACACCATCATGACTCCATCTTGAGTAAACAGAGATGTGAGTGTGTGACACAGTGGTCAAGTGAATAAACTAAAGTATCTCTAATATAGCCAGAGAGATTTGGGCAAATGTAACTAACTAAAAATAAACATTTTTGTTGTTAAGAATCTACATGAATCTACTTTTTAATATTCATCTTCTGCTAGCATTGTGACTGTAGAGCAACATAAAGCCTGAGG